ATGGAGATGGAATGAGTTGTGATTTAGGGATTTAGGTTATGAGTTGTTGCTGCTGCGTAGATATATAACCAAAAAATTTGTGTTGCGAAACTAAAACATGTTGCGAACTTTGAAAATCGCATTGTGATTCTGTATTATCTCGTTGCGATAGTCAGAATCTCGTTGTGAAAGTCAGAATCGCATTGCGAAAGTCAGTATCGCGTTGCGATTTTGTATTATCGCGTTGCGATAGTCAATATCGCATTGCGATTTTCCAAATTCGCGTTGCGATTTACTTATTCGCATTGCGAATTGAGAAAATCGCAACGCGAAATTAGAAAATCGCATTGCGATAGTCATAATCGCGTTGCGAATCTGAAACTGATTTGCGATAATGGAGATCGCGTTGCGATTTTGTTGGTCATTTTGACAAATCCGGAAAACGTTGGTTAAAATCGTATATTATATGGGATTTTTGGTCACTGAGATTATTTTCTCTTAAATAAATGCTCAGTTTTTCTTCATCTTTATTTGTTATTAAATTTTTTAACAGGTACCAAAACAAAATAAACAAAAAGTAAACATTAGGTATGATTTTAGAAAATATAAAAGTTTAGATACTAAAACGGGATAAAAGTAAGAGTTTATGTACTAAACATATAATTTACCCTATATTCTTTAATCCTGATTTTTAACGAGCGAAATAATACTTTTTTCTATTTTTTAAATATTTTTCAATTTTTTTTGGTCTAAGCAAAGAAATAACTTAAAATCATATGGATTACAACATATACAAAGAAATAATAGTTGTAAACAACAAATTATGATCTTTTTTTTCTGTTCAAAACACCAATTTCTGATGAGTTCTAAAATAGATACAATAATAATAAACATGATTACATAACAACTACTAAAACACGATTGATATAAAAATAAGGGGGGGGGGGATCGTAATATATTACATTTTGAACTGTATTGTTTAAAAGAATTTTCATTTGTTTTTCCATCACCATTCCATGATTGATCTGAAAACGCCAAGAAACGAGCTTCATTTCCATATCCCCATAATGCAGATAGCCATTAACGTTTGCCTTTTCAACCTCAAGCTTCAAGCTGCACTCATTTTCATCATCATTGATTAATCTAATTGCAGATTCAATTCTCCAAAAACAATCCCGGTTTTACTAGGAAATAGAATTATTTTTCTGGGTTTTTTGTGTTTTAAATTTGAATATTCATAAAGGAGCTATTGACATTGCCTGCCATGACAGAGGTCCTTCGTTTCCCTTTATCTCAAAGCGGTAACAATTCTACTTCTTCTGAAAATGTCTTATCCTGTTCACCCCGGACATCCTTAACCTGCGCTCATGGTGACGGGGATGGATTTGTTATGTAACAGGCGGTGACCCCGGAGGAGGTGGAGGAGAAGAAGAGGAAGAAGTGAAGAATAGAGAGAAACGGAAAAGAGAGACCCCGGACAGCCACAATAGTGTCTGCGACGACCGCAATAGCGCCCGCGACGGCTGCAATTACGGTAAATTCGAAATAACCGAAAACGCGATAGCGATCGCGACCGCGATTTGAAGCCTAATTGTTTTATTAAATAAAAAATTAACTCGGGTCGGGTCGAGTTTTTAAGTTATGTATCAGATCGGGTTCGAGTCGGTGAAATTTTATTTCGGTCGGGTATCGGGTGGAGGACCCCTTATTCTCGGGTCGGGTCGGGTCGGGTGAACCAAAAACCCGACCCATGCCCATCCCTAATCATAAGTAATGTGCTCCGAGTTTTATTGTTTTCAAGATGATGTTGTATTACTTTCTCTAAATTATGAAATGGAGGTGAAATTCATGTGTTGAACAAGTGCATTTTTCTTTTTGTTGACTCCATTATAATTTATTAAATGCAATTCTGATAACATTAGATCAGATTCAGGAACTTCTCTACCTATGATGCTGTATTAGCCTATCAAGTTCTTTGAACTATTTAGAAGGAAACATAATTATATGAGAAGCTGGATATTGTTGTTTCAGTTCTAATTTCTAGGTAAAACATGGCCATTTTTTCTTGCTTATCCAATTGCACTGATTTTTTTTGTCAGTGCTGAAATGCCATTACAATTGAGGTCCATTACTCTTCTATTCTCTGGTAAAGATGTGGCATGAATGGTTAGAAAGGACTAAATGAATGTTTGAGATGGATTTGCTAGGCACATGCAAATACATTCATGGCCGATGTTTAAAAACTTGATTTTATTGTTTCGAAACTCGCAATGGTACTGCCTAGTCTTCTGCATGAAACTCCTATGAAATTCTTCGCATGTATCGACATACATTTGACAATCGACGTCATAGTTTGTTTTCTCTCCTGTTTTTGGCAGTGCAACTGTCTTTGGAGTTTCAACGGAATCGATGCAGTTATCCTATGACTCGAGAGGCAACAGTGTGCCAACGATACTCTTGCAAATGCAATGGCGTTTGAACGGTCAAGGAGGCCTGCAGGTTTTTTCTTTATCTGTTCATCCTTTCTCTTCAATATGCATTTCCACTTTGCTCAATGTCAATTTGTTCTCACGTTTCTGGTTTTGTTCAAGTTAAATGAATCTTTTAAAGATTTATATGACTTCACATGCAGGCAGAAGGGATTTTGAGAATCAATGGAGAAAATAGTCAGGAGTATGTTAGAGAACAATTAAATGATGGAGTAGTTCCAGACCGGGTTGATGCACACTGTTTGGCTGGACTAATTAAGGTACATCAATGGCATTTATATTATTCATTTTGGTAACTATGGATGTCCCTTAGCCTTTGGGGTACATAATTTGGGAAAGCCCTATCTCTTGAACATGACCACCCTTTCCAAGGCTTGAAAGTGACAGTTCATCAACCAAGTTAAGTTCCGGTTTCTGGTCGGACAATTATCTATGATCACATTGGTCTGTTTCCCTTCCTCCGTCAAAGGAGGGATAGGGCAGTCATTGCTATAACACTTCAACCTGAGTTATCCCTTTTCACTGTGAATATCAGTGTTAATGTTCATTAGGATGATTCTGGCAAATTTGCATTTTCGAGCGGTGAAAATTACTTGTCAACCATAATAGGCAACTCTTTGAAAGTTGAGCTCACTCTCTTTATTCATATGCATGCATGTTTTGCTTGTTCTTATCAACATACATCCTGGAAACATGATTTCAACCGTATCTTCTTTGAAATTTACCTTTTTTTTCTTTTCAAAATGCAATACGCTAATTTGATGTTTGTTACTCTTAGGCTTGGTTCAGAGAACTTCCTAGTGGAGTTTTGGATTCCTTAAACCCAGAACAAGTAATGCAATGCCAGACGGAAGAGCAGTGTTTTGAGCTTGCAAAACTTCTACCTCCCACAGAATATGCTTTACTTGATTGGGCCATCAATCTCACGGCTGATGTTGTCGAGCATGAACATCTCAACAAGATGAACGCACGTAATATTGCCGTGATTTTCGCACCAAACATGAGTCAGGTGAGTGCCTGTGACTGTCTACAACATTTAGCACCCCAAACACTGTACTTCATTAGTAAAGCCCTCATTTTCTGGTTCAACGACAGTCTCTTATGGACTTTGGCTTATTTCGGTTGTAGATGGATGATCCTTTGACCGCACTGATGTATGCGGTCCAGATTATGAACTTTCTCAGGACACTTATCTTGAGAACCATACGAGAAAGAGAGGATTCATTGGTAGAGCCTACATAGGCATCCCATCCGGAGCCTTTCAATGATGATAGAGGTCGGAGGCTTTCGGTCTCCTGCATTCGAGATGGAGAAAACGATAATCGAGAGAGAGTGAATGGAGATCAGGGTCTGATACCCTCTGTCCGTAAACAAATCTCTGATAAAGAACATTCTGAAGAGAAACCAGCTCCGGTTGATACCTTCATCAGTGAAAAAGATACCACCGGAATGAACCATCCCAAGCAAATACGAAAAGAAATGCGCAATCGGAGCAGCAAACGCGTCAAAGCAGGGCGTTGAAGGATACTGATAACACCGGTTAGGCTTTAACTGATACTCTAACAAGATTGGGAGTGTATTCCCTGTGTGATGACAGATAGAGTGGTTTGCTGAACCTTGTGTAACATCATCTATACTTGATAACATTGTAATGTTAATGATGTGATCACTTAACTTTTACATTTTTCGTCATTCCTTCACTGCTTCTGATATTAATACAAACTTTTAATACATTCAATGAAATCTTTGGCGAACTTCATTTCAAGGAAAATATATGTATTTCCACCGCCAATATCATGAATAGGGAAAAGTGGGAAGCCATGCGTTTGCTGAAACAGGTGAGGGTCCCCACACAAGAATTCTTGTATACATGTGGGAAGATGGGCGGTTGAAGCAGCAATTTTTGCAGCCAAAGTATGATGATAGAAGTTTTGGAAGATGAGGTTAGTTTATTTAAGCAATATTAGAAGTTTGAATCATGTTTTTGTGAATAGAGCGATTGAGTTAGAAGAGATGTGTTATAAATGGATATTTATAATACTCAATCTGATTCGATCGATCAATAAATCAAATATCGATAGTTAAGAAAAACTTTTTTTTTGAATAGCCTAGGTGATTACATATTCAGAATCTTTCTTAAATATTGACAATGCAGACACGCAGTTGTTCGAACACCAAAACTTTTAGAGAGAATATTAGAGACGGGCACAGGACGAGGAGGGACAATTTTTTTTACCGACCCAACCCTGATCCGAAAATATATTGCTAAAATTATGTTACTCAACTTATGTTATTAAGTAAACGTGTATTAGTATGTATCCTTATTGGTTAAGGTGTCAGAAAGTTAAATGATTTTAAACTAATTATAACTTGGAATATGTGTCGATTCAAAGTCTTAAATGTTTCTTTTTGGCTATTGCTTACCTTTATTTGTTTCTGAAAAAAAAGAAGAAAATTGCTGTTTTCAAATAAAAAAAATTGATAATCCTTTTGTAAAGTAAAAATAAAAAAAATAAAAGAATAGAAAGGAAAGGAAACAACCTCAAGACTTGCTGTTGTCAGTTGCCTCAGCCAACATAAGCCATATTCTTCATCTTCTTCAATAATTCAATTTCTACTTTATATGCCTTTTACAATATATAATTTGTACTTTTGACTCCAAACTCCGATGAGACCGATACGCCTCCCGGAACCTCCCAATACCACCGTAGGAGTGCCGGATATCTTCGAAGACGGCTCTTACAGCGTAATCAGACGCGCCGTCATCATCGGAAACGGCTCCCCCGGATCCGAGAACCAGAGTATTGGGTTGGTCAGAGCACTCGGGTTATACGACAAGCATGTTCTTTATGTAAGACCATTTTATTAATTTTTAGTTTTTAATTCTTTGCTGGTCCTTATCTGATTGTCATAGCTTTAATATTAATTTTTAGGGTTACCTTGTTGTTTTTGATTACTATAAAACTGTTAAATAATTACTGGAAAAAGATAGTTGCTTTTATGTTCATTTTAGAATTGATCTCAAAGTTGTTACTATTTGATTAATTGATTATCCGTTGTACTGATACGCAGCGAGTTACGAGACCAAGAGGAGGGATACACGACTGGCTTCATTGTCTCCCAGTTAGTCTTCACAAAAAGTTGGATTATCTCATCCGGTTGATTCAAATTTATTGCCGACGGAGGAATTATGCGCCTTTACCTCTAGAAAATGGCGGTGGAAGTGTTGGCTTGGCATCTATTTTAGAAGCTGATGTTAAGCAGATCGTAAACATGGCACGCCAGACTTTTGAAAAGTACTTTGTTTTTCACCATTTGGTTATTGAAAATGCTTATATGGAATGGATAGCAATTTGAATCCAAGTTTAACTAATTACAGTGTAAAATCTGTTTTTTTTCTGTTGAACGTTTTATTTTGTGTGGGTACTTTTGAATGGTTTGATAGTAAATACTGGTGTTTTATTATTCTTCTTGATAATTTGAATCCATATTCGTCTTATTGCAGTATACAATCTGGTGCTTTTTTGTTGAATGTTGATTATCCCTTGTGGATACTGATGAATTGTTTGATAAAATTTCCCAGGGATGGTCCTTTGTTGGTTGTTGCATCCGGAAGAGACACCATTTCAGTTGCAAGTTCTATAAGACGTTTGGCCTCAGAGAATGTTTTTGTCGTTCAGGTTTGTAATGGGCGTTAACTTTGTTTCAACTTTTTATCCTAACAATCATGTGGTGCACCATTATATTCCTTTTATGTTTATACCTTCCTAGGCTTTATAGGATGAACATAGAATGAGTTGACTAGAAGTAATGAAGATTGGAAATCGCATTACTGAAAAGAATAGTGTTTTAGAAACTTCTGCCCTATGTTTTTTTTTCTTTGTTGAAAAAGCCACATTTGAAGTTTTTATTTGCCAAGCTATCTTTTAATCTTGTATATATGTAGTATCTACTATCTATGCTACTCTCCTTGTTCTTGTGCCATCGTTAGCTTCTTTCAATCTTATAGCCTAAAGAAAGATCTTTTGTTGCATGTTGTCATTTAACTCATTTGTCATGTTTCCAGCGTATGATAACATTATGTGGTTGCATGTCTAAGTATCATTTTTTTTGCAATTCCTTTATAATGCAGATACAACATCCTAGGTCACAATTGAATAGGTTTGATTTGGTGATCACCCCTCGGCATGACTTCTATCCTTTAACTCCTGAAGGAAAAGCACAGGTTCCTCGGTTTCTTCACAGGTGGATTACTCCTCGTGAACCTCCTGATAGGCATGTGGTATGTATTTCAGTCTATATTATGGAATTTTATTTGCTTAGTATTGGGAACCCTATCTTTGCTTAAATTATTAGTTTGTGTCTACTGCTAAAGGTAGGTTTATTTTCAACTTTTTACATCAGATACTCACTTTGGGAGCTCTTCATCAAATTGATTCTGCTACACTCCGCAACACAGCTGCAGCGTGGCATGATGAGTTTGCACCTCTTCCAAAACCCTTACTGGTGGTTAACGTCGGCTGGCCTACACGTAATTTTTCGTTGTGCTTTGAGACTGATGTTTTCATGTCCCAGTAGAATTTACACTTTATTGTAGACGTTCGCTCTGATGCCACTATGCTTGGAGCTGCTATTTTCTCTTAGGGATGTGGACAATGTATTTGCCCGATTATAGCTGATGCACATTATATAGACTGATCTTGATCTGGGTTAGGTTTTTTTTTTGTGATTTACTTCACAATAATATTCAAACTTAGTCTTTTCATCCTCATTTTTACTTTTTTTTTTGCTTTTCTATATATGCATAACTACATGATGCTGAACATTTTTACTTCATGAACTTGGATTAGGATGTAGTTTTTGTTTTATGATCTTGAGAAAGAAAAAAAATATTTGATGCATGGTCTCCTTTTCTCTTAATCTCTTGCTATTAGAAACTAGAATAAATTTTTTTTATTCTTTGTTCACTCTTCCTTTCTTTTAACCTTATGCATAAATATTGATATGTATGTTTTGTCTGCCATCTTTACAGGCCACTGTCGATATGATGCAGATCTTGCAAAGCAGTTAACTGTCTATCTTCTTGGTATCCTTTCAAGCTGTGGGACAGTCCGAATATCTTTCTGCAGTAGGACACCTGAAAAGGTTTTAATAAATGACAATTCACTCATAATTTCTCTTACTTTCTTCTGTGATGATTTAAGATACTACGTAGTTTTGACCTTCAATTTGGCCTACAGGTATCAAAAGTCATTGTGAAAGAACTTGCTGATAATCCAAAAGTTTACATCTGGGACGGTCAAGGTATGTTCAGTTAAATGTAATTTAAAATTAAAATGTGGATAATCTTTACTGAGTTTTTATATGACTTTCAGAACCAAATCCACATATGGGGCATTTAGCTTGGGCGGATGCTTTTGTCATCACAGCAGATTCAGTCAGTCTGATAAGTGAGGCTTGCAGTACGGGGTATGATCTTCCTTTACTTGTATTTTAGAACATGTCGAACCCTTTGGACTGTACATTCTATTCAGTGGAAAACTGTATCTTTCACATTTGGTTCCATGCAGGAAACCTGTTTACATTATGGGGGGAGAGCGTTGTAAGAGGAAACTATCGGACTTCCATAAATCTTTGAGGGAGCGAGGAATGGTTAGGCCATTTACAGGTTCTGAAGATGTGAGTAAATAGTCAATGGCATCTTTTCATTTCCATTTATTCCATCCTGTTACTGTCCACAGTCTCGTAAGATCGGATAAAGTTACATTTACACATGACCACCAGACTGAATTGAACCTAATTCCTAACCTATTTGCCATTTTTACGCCATTATAACTAGAGTATATCAACTAATGAAAATCCTTTGGGATTAATTATATGAACTATTTCCTTGGATGTCTTTTAGATTGCAGAAAGTTGGAGCTATCCTCCTCTCAACGACACAGCAGAAGCAGCAAGTCAGGTGCGTGAAGCACTTGCCGAGCGAGGGTGGAGGGTTAGATCATAATGAAGGTATTGATAGTTGTTGTAAACACTGTTGATTTCCGTAGTATTGAAACTTGTGAAGCCATGAAATTTGGGTTTGTTGAATCGCATATACAAGTACCACCTTCAAATTTATTCTTCTCCATCAGGGATGTTTAGATGCATTACATGTAGAACGAAAGTGTTAGCTATTTAGGGCCGGATTGTAAAGCATGAAGAGAGGGGCAAGCATAAATTTACCTTGTTTTTTTTTTATGGGATTGTTTGATTTATACACCTGAAAAACAGATCTGATGAAATAAAAATTTGACAACATCCCTCCCTTTTGTTATTCATTTGTCTTCTTCCTTGTGCCATTTCTGTTTTGGCTTTTGCCCTTGGAACAGCCTTCTTATCACAGGAATGGATGCTATACAGATTAACTATGAAGCAATGGTAGGGCCATCCTTTAATTTGCATTGTAGATCATTAAATTTAACTTATTATATATTATTTTATTGAAAATAATAAATAATATTAATTATATTAACATTTTATTATATATTATTAAAATAAAATATCATATATTATTATTATTATACAATTGTGTATATATTATTATAATATTGAAAATATTAGTGACGAATAAAATATAAATAATTTGAAAGTTGAGTAGTTAAATTGAATATTTTTAAACTTTAGTGACTAAAATAGGAGTGAGAAGATAGTTAAGTGATGAATAATATAATTTATCTATAAAAATACCACATGTAGTAGTTCGTTAAGTTTTTAACAAAAAAATAAAAATAAATGTTAGGTATGTTTTTGAAAAAAAATAAAAATTTAGGTATTAAAATGAAATAAAATTGATAATTTAGATGCTAAACGTGTAATTTACCCTTATTTTTAATATAAAATATTATTTTTTATAACCGTTTCTTTTTAAAACGGTGATTCGAATTGGGATAAGGTTGAGTTGTTGGGGGGCAATTTTAAACCACTTTTTATGACAAATTTTTCCTTTTTTTTTTGAAAGAATTTTATGACCACTAAAATTACAATTTGGGTTTTGATGTTTATCAGGCAACCTTCATTCGCATCAGAAAAATATGGGTAAATTTCATAAATCATTACTAAATTTTCTTTTTCTCCTATTTTGGTCACTAAAATTTATTTTTTCTTATCTATTCACTGAACTTTCGATTTACTCGTATTCTAGTCATTCTGTCGTTAACTGTTTAACGGTGTTATGCATGACACAAGCATCAAAACGATTGCATTTTGAAAAACTCAAATCCACACAAAAACGACATCATTTTGAATTCTCTATAAAATCCTTTTCTTTTTCATTCCTCTAGTTTTCTTTGTAATTTGTACATAATGTGATCGGTTGCCACCATCGACCATCACATCATTTTTCATACCCAATCATCGTCTACAATCGTTGATGGTGACCATTTAACCCCAAATTTTTTATATAAACTAGCTTTCACCTTCCGAACACAAATCAGATGTTCTTTTAACCCAAAAAAATACCCCAAAGTTGATGAATTTATGTCGAAACTCTTCAGCTTTCTTTGTTTCCGTACGTCTTCTTTCATCGTTAAATTAACGTCAAAGCATGCTATGGTGATATTCTCATTGTTGTCCATCTCTTTTTCTTTTTTCTTCATTTTTCCTCTTTTACTGTTATTGATGGCTACAATATTATGTTTAGTTCAAGATTTGGGTTGAATCTTAGTTTAGGCGATATATATTAACTCATTGGGGGTATTAAAATGGTTCACAATTTGATTTGATAGGATAAAGTTGTAGTTGATTCTCGGCTTTATTTAGTTCTCTTTATTGTTATTAATGATGGTAGAATAACGTTAAGATTTGTGTTTAGTTTGATAGTGAGGGATTCTTAAGGGATTAAAATGATACTCGAGTGTGTAAGGGGTTCAATGATAGTGAATTGGAGGTGGTCGAGAGGGTGAGAATAATGAAATGGTGGTTTGTGGTGGTGAAGTTCAATTGAGTTATTCTTGATTTAGTGATGTTGGTTGTGGGTTGAGAGATTTGTTTTGAAACAAAATGTGATAAAATGGATAGAGATGACAAGTGATAGAGGGTGACCGGTGGAATGTCAAATTTAACGAGAATATATTAAAAATTATATTAAAAAATATTAATTAGAAATCTAGGTGACAACTTAAAAATTAATAAAAATGACGTATCATCACAATGTTTGAGAGATAATTGGGGAGTGATAAAAAATCAATTTTAAAAGTTCAGTGAATAAATTGAAAAAAAATATAAATTTAAGTGACTAAAATATTAGAGAAAATAAAGTTTGGTGATAATTTGTGTAATTTACCCGAAGATTATTTGAAAATAATAAAAAAAATTGCTAATCTAGAAATCTCTGGTAACCCAAAACTCAGTTCATTCCATCAGTTAAAACACTTGCACTGTCCGTATGCAAACTTCTCCAGTGGCAGACATTCAGAACGACATCTCAAATCTCAATATGTCACTAGTCCCCTCTCCACAACCCAACGGACCTCTCTTCGCCGAGGTCGACATGAGTGGCGACGCCTCCGCCCCCACCGTCCGAGCAACCGTGGTCCAAGCCTCAACCGTTTTCTATGACACCCCTGCTACTTTAGACAAAGCCGAGAGGTTGTTGGCTGAAGCCGCCGGCTATGGGTCTCAGCTAGTGGTGTTTCCTGAAGCTTTTATCGGCGGATATCCTCGCGGCTCCAATTTCGGCGTTACGATCGGGAACCGCACTACTAAAGGGAAGGAAGAGTTCCGGAAATACCACGCTTCTGCCGTTGATGTTCCTGGTATGAATCTCATCAAACACTTTTAAAAATTTTCTTTCTGATAATTTTTTCAGATACTGGATGATAATTAATTTCGGGTAAAGTTTTCATTCTTAAAAAAAAACCTCTAATGTTTTTTTTTAATCTTTTTATCTTAAAATGAAATGTTGAGGCTAAAATGCTATAAAAAAAGGTTAAATTGACTATTTAGTCAAAATTCGGTACTTTTTTCTCCTAAAATGAAACACTGGAGTAAAGTTTATTTTTTGATATTATGCCAAAAAATGAGAGTAAAGTTTGATTGTTATGAATACTATTTTAGCTGATCAATTCTGTCTGAAACTTATTATTTATGATCCAAAGTTGATGTTATTAGTCTTGTTTCACATTAATGGTTTGTGCTAATTGTTGCAGGTCCTGAAATCGAGCGTTTGGCGGTCATGGCTGGAAAGTACAAGGTTTACTTGGTGATGGGTGTGATAGAGAGAGATGGATATACTCTATATTGTACTGTCGTGTTTTTCGATTCCCAGGGCCGGTTCTTGGGGAAGCACCGGAAGATTATGCCGACTGCATTGGAGCGTATAATTTGGGGGTTCGGTGATGGATCCACAATTCCAGTTTTCGATACTCCGATTGGGAAGATTGGCGCAGCCATTTGCTGGGAAAATAAAATGCCACTTCTTAGAACAGCAATGTATGCAAAAGGTTGGACTTTTGGACCCTTCACTTACATTTTAATGCTGAAAGTACTTATGGCATTACATATGTTATTTTGATTTTGATTGCAAGCAGGGACCAAGTTAGACTAGAAAAAACAATTATTATTATTTGGCTTGGAAATACATTTCATTGTTTAAATTTTTTTGAAAAATGTTTTATATTTCATAATTGAATTTGAATAAACTTTTTATTAAATGAACAGTTGTTCAAAACAGGCTAGAATGAGAAGTGATACTAGTCCGATTAAACTTGAAATTGTGGAACACCATTGGGGCCAAAAACTTCTTGTATGCTTATTCTATGTCTTAAATCACCGTTTATGCTAATGCTAGCAATAGAAAAAATTTTGTATGTTGTCGTTAAGTTGTTTACTTTTATAAATTTTGATATACTAATAATTAGTATTATACAGATTTTGTGGTATTCACGAGTTTATGCCATGTTGGTTGTATGACTTAAATCATGTTTGATATACTAATATTATCAATGTAAGTAGGCATATCACTTGCTGAATGCATGAGTGCCAGTTTGAGGATAGTAAATACTCGATCATGTTACGCCTAAGTTAGCCTATAATCAGTCTTATTCAGCACCGAAGAATTGTCAACCTGCAAAGTTTTAATGCTATTTAACTCTTTTTTTTAGGTTTTGAATGTTTGCATTGGATTGCTGCAGGTATTGAAATATATTGCGCACCAACTGCTGATTCCAGGGATCTGTGGCAAGCATCTATGACCCATATCGCTCTTGAAGGCGGGTGTTTTGTTTTGTCAGCCAATCAATTCTGTCGGAGGAAAGACTACCCACCTCCTCCAGAATATATGTTTTCCGGGACAGAAGTGGAACTCACTCCAGATTCCATCGTCTGTGGCGGTGGAAGTGTCATTATATCACCATCTGGAGCTATTTTGGCAGGACCCAATTATGATGGGGAGGCACTTATATCGGCAGATCTAGGTATGTACAGTAATCCATGGTTTAATATCTACTCAACTTTTCTAACTTGGCCAACATTGCTGGATTGCATTCAATTGGTTGTTTCAGGACAATGTATTCGAGAAATGTCTTAATAGTTCAAGATGCTCTTTTCTTTCTCTTGGACTTGAACTATGGATGATCCCATGTTTCTTTAAAATTCTCGAGACACTTGTTCCTGTGTCAGAGGGTCCATTGGGATGTGACCTTCAAAACAATGTTGAGAATGGGCTGTCAGGTGTATTTTGAGATGCCGTATTTCCCATTCAGCCCTGTATGCATTGTCTGTATTTTAAGATAAAATGTGATTGATTGTTCATTAGAGTTTGATTGGGAATATCAGCGTTTAGTGAAGTGCCTTTGTGGACAAATCCATAAGGTTCAATGAGCCGAACTAAACAATACGTTGCAAGTTGGTGTGAATTGTAACATTTGTCATGGTCCTAGAAGGAAACCATGAAACTAAGAAGTTTGACCCAGGATTCAAGTAAACATACCATCTTTGTGTCTTCATGTGTTTGTCTCTTTCTCTTTGTTTGCCTGCCCAAGTTCTTGTAGGCAGGGGATAACTGTTTCCGATGATACTTCCTTTACATGTTTCGTCTCCACAGGTTTCGATTGGGTGTAAACTTTGATATTAACTTTCTTTATTGATTACCGACTGAAATGAATGATATATGTACGATCAAATGACTTGCAGATATGGGAGAAATAGCACGGGCAAAATTCGATTTCGATGTGGTAGGTCATTATTCAAGACCAGAAGTGCTTAGCTTGATTGTCAGGGACCATCCAGCAAAGCCAGTTACTTTTGCTTCAGCATCTGAAAAAGCTGAAGACACTCATAAATCCTCGTGATCATAAGGTATATGCATTGGTCCCTTACAATCAGATGAATCCAATTTGTAAAGCCGTCTGATGACTGTATTAATTTCTTGGTATCTATTGAATCACTTTCAACGGATGATCCCTTACTCTGTGATCATGTTCATCCCCTGTAATGGTATAAAGCTTTCATCCTGTGAATTTCACTCCATTTTCTTTTCAATGTTCTTGGATTGGAAGTTTCATGCTGTGATTCATTAGCTATTACGGTACCCCAACTTTAGATTACTTACCATTTAAGGACCATACTCTAGCACTAATTCACTTGCTCAATAACTTTCGTGGTATACATTTATCAATTCAATTCTCAAAAAGACTAGTGCAACATTTGTTCGATAAAAAAACATTAGGGTTTGAATCCTAATTATTAAAATAATTCCCATATATATATACTAATGATTTCGTCAAATAAGCTTTACCATGGGGTGTTTTTATTTCATAGCTCTGTTGCTTCACAAGCCTAAGTTTGGACATATTCTTCCTTGTAGCTTTATCAAGTAAGATTTTAATAGATTCTAATGGAATCACATAGAAAGGATCCAATCAGTACTGTTGAAGCATCGACATGCGGAAGTCATCGACTTTAGTTTAGGTGGTAGAAAGAGTCTACAAGCTATGAGATCAATTCGTTCAGGAATTTTACAAGGACTGATAAATTAAGAAGTCAATTTGTTTTTGTTACGAATCAACAGTGTGGTGTACAACAAGTGATGCAAAGCTTCTTCAAGTATTCCTTTGAGAATATACAATGAGATTGGCATTATTAGAATTATTGGTTTTGTTCCATTCACAATAACTTTTTCAGATTGTTTTTTAGTTTGAGTGTAGAGTGCAATACTCAGATTAACTTGGGTTCGTTCATCTTGCAATGAATTTCAACATAACAAAACAACCGTTGTGATCTTCCCATAGTATGTCAATTTTGGAATTTTAGAGACAGAGACAATCATCAGAATCGACATTAGTATTAATATAATCCCCAATGGTCATTAGTCGTGTTTATTATAAAGCCCATGTATGTTGAATAAAGGTTGATGATTTCAACCAATCTGCTTACATTACTCCAGAGTTGTAGATGTGTATTTAGAGACTTTAAAGGCTACAATTCAAAGGTCATTTGATTTAAGCAGGATTTTAGGGTCTCAAAATGGATTCATGAAAGGAGTTTGACACTTACTAGCAAAAGTTTTACAACCGAGTGCACGGGCCATAATATTTACCTTACTTGAATGGATGAGTTCAATCAAATATCAGTTGTCGGTCGATACCTAATCGAGATAATTTGATTCGAATACCGGATGTCACATTAGTCACTGAAACGATTGATACAAATTTATTACTAAAAAATGTATTCCATGCATGAATACAACCCAATTATTTCACATAACATACAATGGAAGACCACACCAACATTCTTAACCGAGAGTAAACTTGATCATGCAAAAAGATTCACTAAATCAAGTTACATGTTTTAAGAGTATTTTTGTCTTTTTTTACATACATCATACCAAAACATGCTAAAGATTACAATTAATCATCCTGAGAGATAACATGAGAAATCTCAGCTCAAACGAACACCATTTCAAATTCCAATTATACACATAATATTATAGGGATTAAATCGAATCATTTTAATTAATTTTATGATTAACATGCATTTTCTAAATTTTCAGCTCAAACATAAAATTAAAGTCATAACTATACTAACTGTTAAAATCATTTATAATGCAAATAATCAATCACAATTTTGAATAATTTAAAATTTACAAAAATTAAAAAATATATAACATTTTAGACAAAGAGGAAAAAAACTGTCAATTGAATATGAGTTCAATGATGAGAGTGAATATAGCAAATTCTTGTATGGTTCAAATAATTCAAGACGAGACTCAAAACAAGAAGACCCTTGGAACCTGGGGTGGAGAACGATAGATAAGAGCTGTTGTTAGTTAATAGGATAAACTATGTATTTAGTTAACCGCATATTCATGTTATTCTGTTTTAGTCACATACCGTAAAAAAATAAACATAATTGCTGACGTGAAATTTTTAATTTTTTAATATTGATGTGACATTATATTATGGTGACATGTCAGTATCCTTGATAACTTTTTAATGGCAAGTGACCAAATTGTAAAGTTAGGTATGATTTGAAAAAGAATAGTTAGGTGACCAAAACGAAATCACATGAATAGATGGGTGACTAAATACGTAGTTTACTCTAATTTATAATACAAATTACAAGGCCATGTGATGTGTTTGGAGTTTTGTCAAATGTATGTTCTCGAGAGAATTTCCATTCTTACACAATTTGGTAGGATAATGTCACATGGATGATGGTGACTTTATAATAAAAACAAATACATAAGATACCAAGTAACATGTCGGAAATAATTCAGAAATAAAAAAATGGATTGTTATTTAATTAATTTTTATTTCATACATATATAAATGGTTAGTCTTAATCCTGGTTTGAAACATCCCCCTTATTCTGCCTTTGAAGTCTTTATTATACTGCATAATTGAGTTGTGGTCAGTCATCATTGTTAGACTTCGGTTGTCATAATTTGAACAAAAATATAACAAATCCAAAATATTATACAACCTAAAATAAAATATAAAACTCAAGTAAATTTAATAGTAAAAAGAATATTGTTTCTCTAAAGGTTATGGGTTCAAGCAGCTACGTCTGTTAGATGTGTTATTAACAATAGAAATAGAGCGAATGGGGTGAGAGTAGTCGTCCCTTTGAAAATTTAAAATTATCATATATTTTAAATTTTTTTCTATGTATTTTTCATTGAATATCTATTCTCATCTTCTGAAATTTTATAAATTTGTATATTCTAAGATTTTAAAGGTTTATCCTTAACATAAAATTATGCGTATGTGATTGTATAACAATATCCTTTGAAATGGAAAGGCACTTAGATTTGAATTTAAGAACAATGCAGTTACACTATTACACGATCTAGAAATATATTGGTAGAAAAGAAAATAGTTTTGATTATTGTAGGTAATTCATCTTTTTCAATATGTAGAAACAATTATAATCGATTATTGAACGATTATTAGTCGATATTAAAATATATTGTCTTCATAAGAAGAAGGTAGAAAGAGATGAATGAAATTGAGATGATTTTATCTCTTCTCTTAATCTTGACCGAAAGATATTATAGTAACTCTTGAAATTAGTATCGATAGTAGGATTATTGTGATTATCTATAAATTAACAAACTATGTGATATGATCAATTGACAACAGATTTTATTTTAATAATATGTAAGATATCATATTAAAAAATCATAATTTTTAGCAACTAATAAGCAAAATACCTTTGATAGAAACACAATAAAATTATTTTGATGTTTTATAAGTTATGGGATTCTTCAAATGCATTAATTACAACATCTTCCGTTGTATCCAAAAGTCATAACTTCAATTTACAGTGTCAGCCTATCAACAATTCGGAGTTGGCCGATTGATTCAAACGTAAGCAAAAAGAACAGCCCTCAAATTCAAGAAAATGCAACATAGCAATACTCAAGAGAGGTAAAAGAAAAAACAAATAAACATGTTCTCTTCTCTCTTAGCTTCGGCCTTCACTTATTTTGCCAACGAACTTAGGCTCCTCGGAATGCATGGACCGGCTCCGTTGGCGGGTCAGACTTGGAAAGCTTTGGATGGGAGCTATCCTATTACTAGATAATATGTGATCTCTAAGACTCTTTACTGATCTCTTCGTTACCGTGTTCGTGTTGGTGTATTTGTTGGTCAAACTTTTCTGGGGTTTCAAGGCCAAAATCCAGATCTTTAGAGTTTGAACTTCCTTTTTCTAAGCAAATACTTCCCCATGAAATCATCTCAGAAAGTGATTTCCTCTTATTTTCCTTTTCAATTGGAATCTTCTTTGATCCACCTTCAACATAATTTCCGCTAACATAACTCCATTTGTAGCTCATGTCATTGTCGTCCATGTTTAATTCAATGGAGTGAAGATCATTATCACCTGAATCATCTGCTTCGCACTCTTCTCTACCGATAACATCGACTTTATCGGCAACTTTCTCAACCATTTGACCGGAACCGAAATCGATCTTCTTCAAATAAACTTCGAGCTGTTTGATCCTCTGCATATTCAGTGAACCATCACCATTTTCTTCGTCAAGTTTGGTTCCTAGGTAGGTCTCAAGTTCATTCCTCAACTTTTCGACGACTGCATTCTTCTCCTCGAAATGATATTTAGCTTCGGAGAGCTTCATCTGGACTCGTTCCTCGCGTAACACATCGGCAAACCGAAGCATTTCCCTTTCCTTCTCCATTTCTTCCTTTTCTTCAGCCGACTCTCGTTTCAGTTCTTCGATTGTAGCTCGATCTTCTCCGATACCTCGAGCCAACTCTTCGCATAATTGCTCTAAAATCTGTTTTGCTCTCTTCTCCCTTTCGAGCTCCTTCATTGCCTTGGATAGTGATGCAGCTGTATCAGCCAATTCCTTTCCGAGCTTCTTGTTCAATCTCTCAGTTTGCCTCCTGAGTTTCTTCTCCACTTCGAGCTCTTCCGCGATGCACGCTATGGCATTGCGGATTCTCTCACGCTCTCTCTTCTTCCATGCATCCTTTTCTTTGGCGAAATGCCTCATGAGATACTCGATTCCATTGCGATTAGATCGTTGATCTCGAATCAATCGATCAACATTGATTCGAGCTCGGTTAAGTTCATCATGTAACGCCGAGACTAATGACATGATCGACGAGTGTCGGTCTTCGAAATCACAAACTCGATCCAAGACATTAACGAGTTCTTTAGAAATAGCTAAGCCATTTCTGACATCCTTTAAACGAGTTCTAATTCCAATTATGCATCCGCCATGACTTTTACCTCTAGAATGAGCTTCAATCTGCATTCATGGCATAACATCAGTATCAATATCTTTTACTTATTCCCCCCCCCCTCCATTTTTCTGTAAAATAAGGGTTCAGCCCCAAAATTTATTGCAGTAAATTCTCAACACAATCAAGAATCAAAATAGTTTTTGGAAAATTTCTTTATCACCTCCATGAAACTACCATTACAAGCAGCGTCCATGCTTCCAAACTTATAGCCAGTAACTTGAAGCTCTTCTTCTCCTGTGAGATTTGACTCTGCCTCGATCCATTTTCTATGAAATTCAACAGAAAAAAATGAAAAGAAAACTACAAATGAGATTTCCACTAGAAATGTTTTCCAGAACTTCAAACTGATGCAAAGCATAAGAGAATAACTAAAACCCCCACCTCTGAAAAGGGACTACAAGACGGATCAGGCAAATTTTGCGGCAAAGCATGAGGCATTTTTGGAACTCTAGGCGCTTTTCTCCTCTTATCTTTCTTCTCCAATACTTCCTTACCTTGTGGCAGCGAGTTTTCTAGCAGAAACGGAGTCTTCTTTGGATTGTGAAACACTCTTTGGTGACTAAGACTGCACGCTTCAATCTGTAGTTTTGGATCAGAGATGACGAACAATCTCGTTTTTTTATCTTATCATGGTGTTGTTGCCATGACATTGTAGATTTCAAAATTTTGATGTGCTTCCGATATCATTCGATATCTCATTGAAGATTGGAGAGAAAGATAATAATGATTTTCGAAGATCTCTTTTATTGTATCAAGGAATGGGAAGTTATATGAAATATCTCAGGAGGAAGAAGAAGACAGATTAAAGAGTAGGCATCTTTTCTCCCGAACTTGTTGCCTTGAATTCATCAAAGAAAGTGTCAATCAAATCAAAGATTCTTCTTCTTCTTCTTCTTCTTCTTCTTCTTCTTCTTCTTCTTCTTCTTCTTCTTCTTCTTCTTCTTCTTCTTCAGGATTTTACAGAAAGAAGGAAAGAAAAAAACAGTAAAAAATAAATACAAGGAAAAGGAAAGATCAGAGAAAAGGGAATGATCAGAGCTGTTTGTTTTTCAAGTGTTGTTTATGATTCTATCTTATCGTCTCCATATGTATATAATGGTTTTATTTGTTTTTATTAACTTGATTACAATTTTGCATTTGTTAGTAAGATTTTTAATTATATAGTAATGAATATTTAAATTTTCTTGTAGATGTTGTGCTTAAATCTAAGTTTTAAGAATAACAACCTCCTAATTTGGTGACAATCCTTCTTAGAAATATGCATTTCATTCGAATATGATAAATTTTGATTTGACTAAATTCAATTGAATTGATTTTTTTATTTTGAAAATTTAGGTTCATGTTGATGTATTTGTGTTTGCAAAGCATGTCAAGTTCAAGTTTATGGTGAAAAAATCCGACTTATATAATATTATAATTACTTTTATATATATTTAGAGTTAATTACAACATTACCTCTTTCTATGTTGTTTTTTGATTAGATCATTATTTTACGTAATATATATAAATATATACATCAGGTCAGGTGAACCCCTCTTAAATCCGATACGATCAAATACGAGTGAAAGAGTTTAATTTTTAGATTTGATTCGGATAGACCAAAAACTCGACATTATCCATGAACATATTTAATTTCTCCAAATGATATTTTTTTTTGAACAATTCCTACTTAAGAGAAAAGGAAGGAAAATTTTGCTCCTAATGAATATTAAATCCACAACCTAGGAAAGAGGGAGGTATTAGCTGAGAGCTTTTAATCACCTACTCCAAAGGATAATTTAATTTTCATCTAAATAATTAAAAATAAATATCAAACATATCAAATGTTATATAATTTTTTAAATTAATAATACTAACTAATTTTATGAATAAAAAGAAAATATAACTAATTATAATAGGTTACAAAATTATATCAGATTTAGTTCGTTATTTACAGAAATGACACTAGAACAGATCAAGTGTTCTGTCGTCTCACCTCAAGAAATGAGTAAGATCTCGTCCCGGGTAACTATAGTGTTCCACCTTCTCCGATATTTTAACTTCAAGCTCGTCCCCGGTCGAAGCAAAATGACAAACTGAAAACAAAGATTTTGTGCAGGTAGATTCATTAGAAAAAGCTGGTTATTTCTTCTTCTTTTTTTCCATTTATATAGATTTTCCAAATACTATACATGCAATTGAAGCAAATATGAATTGTAGGTAACGTAGAATGCAAGCATGCTTGCCCGCCTGGCGTGGTCAGAAATAATTAAATCAGAATTTACTAATGAATTTTTTGCACTGGATTGGATGGAGACTAGATTTAATAGTGACGACTGACGATTGGGGTTCATTGTTTGGTCCGTGCTTATGGAATCGCAGGGATGTTTGAAGAGGGAAGCTGAAATTGTGCTTGATTGCAGCCGCATATTTGTCTTCAAAGCCAGATATGCTTATGAACTGCATACGACCAAGACAACCAACCGTGTAGTTGTCTATGTGTGACCTACAGGTAGATCCCCCACCAGTAGGGTGGTGTAAACTAAACACCAACGGAAATTGGATTACGAGATTTACTAAGTCAATAGGATGTTTGGTGTTGGACGCAAAGCTATAGGAAATTTATCAAGGGCTTGAGAAACAGGTAATAAGGCCATTATCGTTGAAACGGATGCTTGTATGCTTCAAATAAAATATTATTGATCCACTACTCAATCTTTGACAAAAAAAAAAATAAACCAAATCCGATTGCATTAATTCCGAAACTTACAGTCTTCAACTTTCAATCTTCAAACCAAAAACCCAATTCGAAAATTGAGACCCTGAATCAAATACACATATAATATGCAGAAATTTTAGTTCATCTTGAAAGTCCCAAAAGTCCAAATCAAAATAAAAATTATCGGATGAAATCAAATATCCAAGTATCTGAAACCACCGACCCTTACCAAACTTACCTGGATTGTTGATTTCAAACAAAGAGTAAGTCCTATATTTACACCCTATAATGCATACACATAAAATGAATTTTCACAATAACATGCATATTATTATACCAACTCAATATATCTTATACGTACTCAAACGCATTGCAAGGGGAAAACCACAATTACACTATCTATTTATTAATAGTATAATCCATTGCGGAAGACAAAATACTAAACAGATTCAGTTTTTTTTTACCTTTTAGTAAAGAAAAGACTTAATTTAAAAATAAATATACCTAAATTTAACTTTAGGTGTCTAAAATTTTTTTTGTTAAAAATAAATGTACGTTTCAGACGTTACACTTTTATATGCTTGCACTATATCATCCGTTGAAAAAAATATTAAATGACACGTCAGACTTATATTTTTTAAAATTTCTATTGTTTAAAAAATATTATTTTTTAAGATTTTTTTTAAATAATAATACCCTCATTCCTCCACCCCCATCGTCGTTCATGGCAACCCCACTCACCCCCCCCCCCCACACAACCCCATCGTTGTTCATGGCAACCCCCTCCCCATCCCCCAATTCATGCGCCAAATTTCCTCCCCTCCCCACGTCCATGCGCAATGATTTCCCCTCCTCGTCCAAATTGGGATGACGGCAGGAGGGATAATCAGCAATTGAGGTCCGATGACAGGTCGATAATCATTCAATGATGGTAAAAATGGCCGGTGATGGCTGATAATGGGGTTGGAATGAAAGATTTTGGGATTTTTCCTGTAATTTCAGGAAAAAAATGATTTTTTAGAATTAATAATATTCTTAAGATTTTTAATAAAAATTTCAAAAAACTAAATAAATGTGACACGTCATTAAATCTTTTTTAACGACCGTTACAGTTCCTAAAAGTGTAACGGAGAAAACATTAGACACCTAAAGTTAACTTTGGATATAATTTAGACTCTTATTTTTATATTAAACCTAAAGAAAATAACAAAAGGGAGCAGCCCAAAATGACATTCAAAACTAGGCCTGTAAATGAACTGAACGTTCAGCGAACCGTTCATGAACCGTGCGGCGAGAAGTTCGTTTATGTGCGTTTATTTAATAAATGAACGAACATGAACAAGATTTTGTGTTCGTTTAATTAAATGAACGAACATGAACATAAGTCTCGTTCGTTCATTTACGTTCGTGAACGTTCGGTTATGTTTGTTCGGTTATGTTCGTTTATGTTCGTTCGGTTATGTTCATTCATTTATGTTTAACCCAATCTTCTTAAATCAATTTTGGTGACCAATTTGTAAGTATCTTAAAAATATTAATTAATCTGATATTCTGATGACCAATTCCATAATTAACCCAATTTTATTTGGAAAATCCAACAATATTAACACGGTTTAGTTCTTTTTGAACGATCCATAAGTTGCATACCCAGCACCGTCAACATCTACTGCGCCGGAACCCTATGTGACTGCACCACCAGCTGGTTATCCGATGAGCAAAGAGGAGTCCCAGAAACCGGTTGCTTTCGAAACCAAGTCCAAAGGTGATGGATTCTGGAAGGGATGTTAAGTATTAAGCACCATTTCTTCTACTCAAATAATCTTATTTTCTTTCATATATAATGGAGTATTCGAATTTACAAGTAAATAGTGATCAACCAGCAACTCAAGTCAGCTTACTTTGAACTCAAGAACCCAATAATGGTGAGGCCTTATTACATAGGTTGAGAAGTTCTTTAACGCGCTTCATCAAACAAATTTTGTGCACCATCCGGATATGAAAGTTTAGCCAGCCGAGAAAGAATGGTTTTTGATGTATGAGTTGGTGTGAACAATAAACCAACATACTTCTCTCATCTCCCAATTTTCAACTTCTACATAGCACAAAGCTAATGACATGTTTGTTTGATCCCTATGGATTAAGGTCGGCAATCACATGAAACACAATCTGTGTTCATCTCGACTGTTGTTGAAGGAGATAAGAAGAAAGAAAGTGGAGGAACGTTATGCAATCCGACATCAGTAGCAAACAAGCAGCTCGGGATTGGTAACTTATATAAAAGAAGATGGGGGAGAATAGGTTTAAGCATCTTTGCGCTTGGGGCAATGTCGAGCTCGGAATCGAGCTTGAATCGAGCTCAGAATTGAGCTTAAATCGAGCTCAGAATCGAGCTTGAATCAAGATCTTAAATTTTTTTTGAGTTCGAGTCGAGTTTCAATATTATATTTCGAGTTCGAGTTGAGCTTGATAATTTTAAGCTCGCGAGTTTTCGAGTCGAGTCGAGCTGACTTTGAAAGTTTTCGAGTTCGAGTCGAGCTCAGCAATACTCGAGCTCGACTCGGCTCGTTTATACCCCTAGGGTAGGGTCTCCAACGTTTATGTTCGTTTATGTTCGTGTTCATTTATGTTTGTGTTTGTTTATGTTCGTGTTCGTTTATGTTCGTTTATTTATTAAATGAACGAACATGAACAAGTTATATTCCTTAATAAACGAACATGAACAAAAAATATTTTGTTCGTTTATGTTCGTGTTCGTTTATGTTCATTTATTTATTAAATGAACGAACATGAACATACCTCCGTTCGTGTGCGTTCGGTTCGTTTACAGGCCTATTCAAAACAAGACCCAAAAAGAAGTACAGGAAAAGGAATAAAACCCGTACTTTGAATGTGGTGGTTAAGAGATGTGTGCATTTAGCAGTGCTCCGTGGACCATATCAATGAATTGATCGTCCTGTTATAGATACAATGCTGGTCAAATTCATGGCAAAATAACAGTTAAAAACAATAACCAATTTCTAGTCTAAGGAAAAATAATTTTTGTAATCAGCATATCTTTCAAATCAGCCTAGTGTTTAGCTCGAAACAATGCTGATGTGCAGAAAAAAAACTAACCTGAACCAGAGCAAAAAGTGTATCTCGAACTTTCTCTTTGTTGACAATCAGACCATAGTTCTGAAGGGGAAGAGCAGGAGTAAGAGATGGTGATGGTG